TCCAAGTACCATTAATTTGGCTACTTATATGCTCTTTAGCCTTTTGCATTTAGTGTTTGTGTTGGTTTTCTCAGGGGGTTCTTTTGCCTAATAATTTGTGCTTTGGAAATTTTGTTTGAAAATTGAAGACAAAGTTGGGAGCAGTGGCACATGCCTGTAATGCCTCCAGAGACTGAGGCCAGAGGATTGCCCAGGAGTTTGAGGCTGCAGTGAGCAATAATTGTGCCTTGAATTCCAGCATGGGCAACAGAGTGAGATCCCATTTAAAAATATATATATTTCACAGAGTTTTGCTTTCCACATTCCATGTCTGTCTGTCTGTCTGTCTGATTATAGCCAAAATAGGAAGTGCGATGTGGCATCTCATTATGATTTGCATTTTCTAAACAATCAATGATGTTGACCACTTTCCATGTGCTTATTGGCATTGATAATGGAGAAATGTCTGTTCAAATCTTTTGCCAATTTAAAAAATTGGGTTATTTGCCTTTCTTCACTTTATTTTAAAGCCCCATTCTTGACTAAAAATTCTTCCAATCCTGGTATCACCAGAAGCTTCAGGATAGGACAGATACTCTCTCTACCAGCATCAGTATCAAAAATCTTCCTGGTAGGGCTATTCCTTCTCCCTCTATTACTCCTTTCCCTAATACTAGGAAGGAAAACTAGGATACCTATGACACGTTCTATAAGTACCACCAGGAAGGGCTCTGACTCACCATACAGGATAAAGGTCCTCTAATGGTGTTCTCAAAGCATACTGGCATTGGTCAGGCGCAGTGGCTTGTGCCTGTAATCCTAGCATTTTGAGAGGCCAAGGCAGGCGGATCACGAGGTCAGGAGTTCAAGACCAGCCTGACCAACATGGTGAAATACTGTATCTACTAAAAATACAAAAATTGGCTGGGCATGGTGGCGCATGCCTGTAATCACAGCTACTCAGGAGGCTAAGGCAGGAGAACTGCTTGAACCCAGGAGGCAGAGGTTGCAGTGAGCTGAGGTTTCACCACTGCACTCCAGCCTGGGTGATAGAGCAAGACTCCATCTCAAAAAAAAAAAAAAATTCCGAAATCCTCAAGCCAGATCAAGGTTTTCTGTAGCTAAAGTAGTGTAAGTCGAAAGTCATTTCCTGGTCTTTCAGAGAAAAAAATTCATGAATAAATTTTCTAATTTTAACTCTCCTGGCATTTTTACTTCAACCTGAATTACCTATTTTTACTTGCTTATGATAGAAATTAATATAATATGATGCTTGACTTATCAAAAATTATATATTATATTCGCAAAGTACAAATATATTATTTCATTATGTTCTGCAGAAAACACAAGGACCCTAGATGCTGAACAATTTTGGGGACCACAAATGCAAGAAATAGAAAGGACTTAGAAGACATTACTGTCCTTCACAAAGTGTGGCACCACTGCTCCCCCCAGACACCCAGGCTGAAACATCATTGACGATTTGCTCATTCTCTTTCCCCACCTCATTCAACCAGTTATCACTTTCTAGAATATTTGCAATGCTGTCTTTTCATCTCCATCCTATCTGCTATTGCCTAGGTCCAAGACCCCTAATTCCCACTTCTGGGCTACTGTAATAAGCCCTAACTGGTGTCCTTGCCTGCAGCCTCTATACTGCTACTGAGTAGTGAATCACATTTGCAGTTAATCAATCACTTCAGTGTCTGCTTTCCCTAGAGACTAACTCCATCAAAGAAAGGATGGTGCTCATCCTGTTCAACACTGCATCTGTAATGCCCAGAACAATGGCATGAGACTGGAAAAGCAGTGAGTCAATGAAAGACTAAATAAAGAACAAACAAACAAAAAAAAAAGAGCCAGGCTGAGATTTAACCCCTGTGCTGACCAAGAGATGGCCACAGGTCTGGGCAGAAGACAATCCCCCCAGGATTGGCAGTAAACTGGGCCCCGGTAGTTATTGAAGTAAAGCCAGGGGTACTAACAGTCAGACAGACACAGCACCCAGTCCCAAGAGTGGCCTTGGAGGGAATCCAGGTCCATCACAGGCATTTAAGAGCCTTTGAAATCATAGTTCCTTGCCAGTCTCCTTGGAACACTCCTCTCTTACCCATCCCTAAGCTGGGCACCAAGGACTATCAGCTGGTGCAGAACTTGCACCTGGTCAACCAAGCAATGGTGACTTTGCACCCCACAGTGCCCAATTCTTATATGTTCCTAGGGCTATTGCCAGCTGAGGCCAGCTGGTTCACTTGTTTAGACTTAAAAAAATGCTTTCTTCAGCATCCAGTTAGCCCCTGAAAGCCAGAAACTATTTGCCTTCCAGTGGGAAGATCCATAGTCAGGTGTAGCCATAGAGTACACCTAGACTCAGCTTCTACAGGGGTTTAAAAACTCCCCAACCATTTTTGGAGAGGCACTGGCCCAGGACCTCCAGAGGTTTTCCGCCAAGGACCTAGGTTGTGTGCTGCTTCAGTAACATGGATAATCTTTTGCTGGGACACCCGGTGGCAGCTGGATATGCCCAGAGAATTGACTCACTGCATCTGGAGACCTGTAAATACAAGGCTTCGGAGAAAAGTCCCAGATTTGTCAACAACAGGTATAATATCTGGGATTTACTATCCGGCAGGGGCAGTGAGGCCTAGAAATAGAAAATAAGCAGGGATGCAAGGCTGGTTCAACATACACAAGTCTATAAACATAATTCACCATGTAAATAGAACCACAGACAAAAACCACACGATTATCTCAATACATGGAGAGAAGGCCTTTGTCAAAATTCAACAGCCCTTTATGCTAAAAAATCTCAATAAACTAGGTATCGATGGAACATATCTCAAAATAATAAAAGCTATTTATGACAAACCCACAGCCAATATCATACTGAATAGGCAAAAACTGGAAGCATTCCCTTTGAAATCTGGCACTAGACAAGGATGCCCTCTCACACCACTCCTATTCAATATAGCATTGGAAGTTCTAGTCAGAGCAATCAGGCAAGAGAAAAATATAAAGGATATTCAATTAAGAAAGGAGGAAGTCAAATTGTCTCTATTTGCAGATGACATGACTGTATATTTACAAGACCCCCCAAATCTACTGAAACTGATAAGCAACTTCAGCAAAGTCGCAGTATACAAAATCAATGTGCAAAAATCACAAGCATTCCTATACACCAATAACAGACTTAAAGAGAGCCAAATCAAGAATGAGCTGCCATTCACAATTGCTACAAAGAGAATAAAATATCTAGGAATAAAACACAGAATGTAAAGGACCTCATCAAGCAGAACTACAAACCACTGCTCGACAAAATAAGAGACGACACAAACAGATGGAGAAACATTCCATGCTCATGGTTAGGAAGAATCAATATCATGAAAATGGTTATACTGCCCAAAGTAATTTACAGATTCAATGCTATCCCCATCAAGCTACGAGTCACCTTCTTCACAGAACTGGAAAAAAACCATCTTAAATTTCATATGGAGCCAAAAGAGAGCCGGCATAGCCAAGTCAATTCTAAGCAAAAAGAACAAAGCGGGAGACATCACACTACCAGACTCCAAACTATACTACAAGGTACAGTAATCAAAACAGCATGGTACTGGTACCAAAACAGAGATATAGACCAATGGAACAGAACAGAGGCCTCAGAGGAAATGCCACACATCTACAACCATCTGATCTTTGACAACCTGACAAAAACAAGCAATGGGGAAAGGATTCCCTGTTTAACAAATGGTGTTGGGAAAACTAGCTAGCCATGTGCAGAAAGCAGAAACTGGACCCCTTCCTGACACCTTACACTAAAATTAACTCCAGATGGATTAAAGACTTAAACATAAGACCTAACACCATAAAAACCCTAGAAGAAAATCTAGGCAAAACCATTCAGGACATAGGTATAGTCAAAGATTTCATGACTAAAACACTAGTAGTATTGGCAACAAAAGCCAAAATAGACAAATGGGACCTAATCAAACTCCACGGCTTCTGCACGGCAAAAAAAAAAAAACAGTCATTAGAGTGAATCAGCACCCAACAGAATGGGAAAAAAATTTTGCAATCTACCCATCTCACAAAGGGCTAATATCCAGAATCTACAAAGAACTAAAACAGATTTACAAGAAAAAAACAAACAAGCTCATTCAAAAGTGGGCAAAGGATATGAACAGACACTTTACAAAAGAAGACATATATGAGGACAACAAACATGAAAAAACGCTCATCATCACTGGTCATCAGAGAAATGCAAATCAAAACAACATTGAGATACCATCTCATGTCAGTTAGAATGGCGATCATTAAAAAATCTGGAGACAACAGATGCTGGAGAGGATGTGGAGAAATAGGAACACTTTTACACTGTTGGTGGGAGTGTAAATTAGTTCAACCATTGTGGAAGACAGTGTGGCGATTTCTCAAGGACCTAGAAATAGAAATTCCATTTGACCCAGCAATCCTGTTACTGGGTATATATCCAAAGGATTATAAATCATCCTATTATAAGGACACATGCACACGTATGTTCACTGCAGCACTGTTTACGGTAGCAAAGACTTGGAATCAACCCAAATGCCCATTGATGACAGACTGGACAGGGAAAATGTGGCACATATACACCATGGAATACTACGCAGCCATAAAAAACGATGAGTTTGTGTCCTTTGTAGGGACATGGATGAACCTGGAAACCATCATTCTCAGCAAACTGACACAAGAACAGAAAATCAAACACCAGATGTTCTCACTCATAGGTGGGTGTTGAACAATGAGAACACATGGACACAGGGAGGGGAGCATCACACACTGGGGTCTGTGTGGGAGAACTAGGGGAGGGACAGTGGGGGGGGTGGGGAGGGATAACATGGGGAAAAATGCCAGGTATAGGTGATGTGGAGGAAGGCAGCAAACCACATTCCATGTATGTAACTATGCAACAATCTTGCGTGTTCTTCACATGTACCCCAAAACCTAAAATGCAATAAAATATGTATTTTAAAAAAAAAGAGATACATCATCCCTAGATTTGGACTGCCTTTGCAAGTGGGCCTGCATTTGTAGCCGACTTGGTACACAGCACAGCAAGAATGCTAGGGATCAGCTGGAAGCTATAAGCCGCCTACCAGCCTCAGAATTCAGGCAAAGTGGTGTGAATGAACCTGACTATTAAAAACAGCTTAGGGAAAGTGCATCAGAAAACAGGGCTAAAATGGGTACAGGCTCTCCCTATAGTTTTGTTTAAAATTAGATGTACTTGTTCTAAGGAAACTGGATATTCCCCATATAAGATCCTGTACCATAGGCCTCTCCCCATCCTCTGGGGATTCCCAGGGACTCCCCAGAAATGAGAGGAAACTCAACTATACTGGCAGTTACAATAATACTGAAGCACACAATTAGTCACAGTGAGGGATGTTTTACACAATTTATGGCATTTGATGCCCATGAAAATTGTAGAAGAAAGGATTTTATTCTGATATACAGATGAGAAAACAGGCCTCAGAAGGTTCAGAGATTTGCTTAAAGTCACATGGTAAGAACATGGCCACACTAGGACTCTCAGGCTCTGAAGAGGACATTCCCCCAAGAGCAAAAGCAAAGACATTGCCCCAGGAGAAAGTTGGCACTTGTCTTCCCTAGGCACTGATACAATCTCATGATGCTTCTCATCACCCATGGACTTCACCCACTCCCACTCCTCAGCCACCTCTGGAGTGTGGTTTGTGAGCTCAAACCAAATAAATGGCCAAGGAAAGACCCAGGTGGGAAGGTATGATCACTTCAATTCTCATTCTCTCTCTCTCTCTCTCGCTCTCTCTCTCTCTCTCTCTCTCTCTCTCTGTTTCTTCATTTTCAAAGCCAATGCCCTCCAAATCACACTGTGCTCTTTCCACCTACTCCAGCCTGTGTTTACCTGTGCTTCCACAGTGACTGATTCTTACGCCTGACCTTGAAACTTTGACTGCAAGTGGGGCCGATTATCTTTTTCCTCAGACTCCAGAATTTTCTGCAAAGCCAGGAAAGATAGACTGTTTTAGGAGCTCATTCAACTCTTGTTTCTCCACATTCTTTGTCAATGATGAGGCTGCTTGGAGGCTGAGCATGGTCTAAGCTGTAAAGAATGTTTGGAAATTCATTAGGAAATGTCTGAAGTTGGAAAAAAAACTTAAGTAACCTGTGCAAAATATTTCTTATTTACATATTAAAGAAATGGAATCTAAAGCTTACAGAGGTTTAAATCCTGCCTAAATATGTGAATTAACAAATGGACAAGCTGGGGTGCTGACACAATCTCTTTAAATCCAAAGCCAAAGCATAGGAAGAATGAACTTCCAGGGACAGTGCCTGGTAACTGGCTTTCTCAAGGAAAAGACAGATTCCAGATCATTCCTTCAGGCTTTAGAGAGCAACTGCTATGTAAACAACTTGGAGTAGAGAAGTTATTGACTCATTTATTGAGAACTACAGTATGAAATATGAAAGATATAAACCCTTAGTAATGTCCTTGATTTTAATTCATCTGTACTTTAGGAAAAAATAGTGCTATGGTTCTGTAAATCAGTGCTTATTTAACAAACTGAAAGCTGTTCCATTTTCAGTAGCATTTACCAAAAAATAGTTACAGAAAAAGCAACCTGGATTACAATATCAACAGAGAATTTCTGCTCCTGGTAATGTCAACAATCATAACATGGATCAATGATCTTTGCAATGTTTCACTGGTGGCAGGAATGACTCCCATCTTGGGCAATTGCTGCCACATTGAACCGCTGATAAACTTTGAGATCAATAAGGAATTATGAAAAACATTTTCTTCACAAACAACTGGGCTCTCGACATATATAATACAAGGAAACTGGTCCTAATCTTTCAGAATACTTTGTATACAACTTATTTCTGATTCACTAACACAAATGCACTCTTGTACTAATGATTGATGGTGCATTATTTGTTTAATCCACCAGTGAAGCAATCTGACAAAAAATTTATATAATCTAAATGAATTCCTATATAAATGGAAGCCTCCTTATTCCTCTTAGGTGGTACAGTCTTTAACTGCTTTCCAGATGAAACCTCCATTCTGGAGTAAATACTTATTTGAATCTGGCTTGCTAATTTCTTCATTTCTTTTGGATTTATTGATCTCACTTTCTTCTATCTGAATACATTCTAAAGTCATATCTGGGTGTCTAATGCATAATTCTCTGTAAAGGCATCTCTTTAAAACTTGTTATCTGGGTCCATATGTTGCTTAGTTATGTGACTATCTGACTTACTGCAGAAAACTAAAAGAAAATTAGTCATACTTACCATGCTTATGGATTTGCTGATGTTCTTACTATTTAACTGTAGAATATTTCTCAACAATGGGGAGAGGAGTTGGGCTAGGTAGGAGCTTCCCTTTGGCACAGCTTCCATTCCACAGAGAAAAAAAACACTAGACAAGAAAGACAAATCAGCAGGGTGATGAAGAAATCCATTGATGTGTTCTGTGAAAATGCAGTTGAAAGCTAAGAATCTAAAGATTCTGTAAACACAAACTGCAAACTTCTCACAAATTATGCACTAAGACTTTGAACTTCAGATGATTGATCTTCAACTTTAGTACACACTGAACTGCTGGGAGAAGTAAAAACAAAAATTTAGTTTAGTATTGATTAGTTTTTAAGTTTCACCTAAAATTATAACTAAATGATAACTCTCACTTCTGGGAAAAAAAAAAAAAGAAGAAATAAAATCAAAATTAACAGAAAGAAGAAAATAATAAACCTCAGCACAAAAGTAAATGTAATAGAAACTGAGAATTCAAAACATTAAAAAAAAAAGAGTTGGTATTTGAAAAGATGAAGAAAATCAATGAATTTTAGCTAGAATACCTAAGTAAAAAGTGAGAGGAAGACTCAAATACATAAAATCAGAGATAAAAAAGAGACATTTCAGATGATATTAAAGAAATACAAAGGATCATAAGAAGCTATTATGAGCAATAGCTATATGTCAATAAATTTAACAACACAGATTAAATAAATTTCTGGAGAAATACAGCCTTCTAATGTTAAATTATGAGGAAACAGAAAATATAACAGATAAATATAGAGTGAGAAAATTAAATCACTACTCAAAGGTATTCCATCAAAGGAAACCCGAGTACATGATAGTTGAACTACAGAATTCTGCCAAACATTTAAAAAGAACTAATACAAACTCTTCTGAAACTATTTCAGAAACTAAAAGAAAAAATATTTTTACACTAATTTTACAAGGTCAGCATAACCTGATTCCAAAACAAAACAAGAACACACACATACACACAAACTACAGACTAACAGCACTAATGAACTTAGATACAAAAATCCTAGAAGGATACCAGCAAACCAAATCCAACAGCACATTGAAAAGAGTATTCACTATGATCAAGTTGGATTCATGCCACAGATGCCATGATGGCTTATCATAGGAAAAAAAATACATATGATACATCATATTAAAAGAAAAAATGACAAAAAACATACAATCATGCCAATACATGCAGAAAATAAATTTGACAAAATTCAATATCCTGTTATTATGAAAACTTTCAACAAGCTAGGTATAGAAAGCTTACACCTCAACACAATAAAGGCCATATATCACAGCCCACAGCTGACATCATATTATATGAAGAAAAGCTGGAAGCTTTTCCTCTAGTATCAGGAAAAAGACAAGGATCCTCATGTTTACCACTTACATGAAATGTAGTACTGGAAGTCCTAGCCAGAGCAATTAGACAAGAAAAAAATATAAAACACATCCAAATTGGAAAGGAGAATTTTTAGTTGTCCCTGTTTGCAGATGACATAATATTATATATAGAAACTCCTAAAGATTCTACCAAATACTGTCAAAGCACATAAAAAATTTCAGCAGGCCCAGTCTCCAGTTGGTAGGGGCATCCTCCCCTCACAGCCCCCTACCTGGCAAAGCCAGCGATTTCCGCCCTTGGTCAGGCCAGTTTCCTGCCCCTCCCTCCTGCTCTCCTCCTTCCAACTGTTTCTGTGGCTGAGTTCTGTCCCTGTACCATTCAGGGAAGCCCCAGCTGCCAGCAGGGAGCTCAGGACTGAGTGGGGCTTCCCAGGAAGCCTCCAGGTAGATTGGGGTGTTCTAGCCACTGCCCTCTGGGGGTTTGGAGGGGGATCTTGAATGAACAAATGAATGAACAGCTTTCTAGGCAAACAGCCACAGCCAGAGAAGCTGTGTGATTGGGAGAAAGAAGCCAGGGTATTCAAGTCTCTCCAACAGCCTCAAGAGGCCTGAAGTCCCAGGTAACCCTCAGGAAGACCTTCTGGGCAGAGACCAATGGGAAGAGGGGGACCAAGATGGTTGAAAGGGAGCTTCTCCAGATTGCACCTCCCAGCTAATGAGACACAGAAGCAGAGTGATATCCATGTCTCCAAACAAGATAGGACGTCCACTCAGAGATCCCACCCAAAATCACCAACTTTGAAGATCAAAGATAAATCCATGAAGATGGGAAGAAACCAGTGCAAAAAGGAAGAAAACCTCAAACTCCAGAACACCTCTCCTCCCCAGAGAGATCACAATGCCTCACCAGCAAGGTAATAAAAATGGTCAGAGAATGATTTGGACAAGCTGACAGAAGCAGGCTTCAGATGATGGGTAATAATAAACTTCTCTGAGCTAAAAGAACATGTTCTAACCCAATGCAAAGAAACTAAGAACCTTGAAAAAACACTAGACAAAATGCTAACTAGAATAACCAGCCTAGAGAAGAACACAAAAGACTTGATTGAGATGAAAACACAGCACAAGAACTTTGTGAAGCATACACAAGTTTCAATAGCCGAATTGATCAAGCAGAAGAAAGGATATCAGAGATTGAAGATCAACTCAGTAAAATAAAAAGAGAAGGCAAGAAAAGAGTGAAAAGAAATGAACAATGCCTCCAAGAAATATGGGATTATGTGAAAAGACCTAATCTATGCTTGATTGGTGTACCTGAAGAGGACAGGGAAAATAAATTCAAGCTGGAAAACACTCTTCAGGAAGTTATCCAGGAAAACCTCCCCAACTAAGCGAAGCAGGCCAACATTCAAATACAGGAAATACAAAGAACACCACAAAGAGACTCCTCAAGAAGAGGAAACCCAAGGCACATAATCATCAGATTCACCCGGGTTGAAATGAAGGAAAAAATGCTAAGGGCAGCTAGAGAGAAACAAAGGAAAATCCATCAGACTCAACAGATCTCTTTTCAGAAACCCTACAAGCCAGAAGAGAGTTGGGGCCAATATTCAACAGCCTTAAAGAACTTTCAACCCAGAATTTTACATCCAGCCAAACTAGGCTTCATAAGTGAAAAAGAAATAAAATTCTTTATGGACAAGCAATTACTGAGAGATTTTATTGCCACCACACCTGCCTTCCGAGAGCTCCTGAAGGAAGCACTGAACACAGGGGAAAAAAATCCTGTACCAGCCACTGCAAAAACAAACCAAATGGTAAAGACCAATGATGCAAATGAGGAAACTGCATCAACCAATGGGCAAAACAATCAGTGACAAAATGGCAGGATCAAATTTACACATAACAATATCGATGTTAAATGTAAATGGCCCAAATACCCCAATCAAAAGACACAGACTGGCAAACTGGGTAAAAAGTCAATATCCATTGATGTGCTGTATTCAAGAGACCCATCTCACATGCAAAGACACACAGACAGTCAAAATAAAGGGAGGGAAGAAGACCTACCAAGCAAATGGAGAAAAAAAAAAAAAAAAAGCAGGGGTTGCAATCCTAGTCTCTGATAAAATGGACTTTAAACCAACAAAGATCAAAAGAGACAAATAAGGACATTACATAATGAAAAGATCAATACTTCAAGAAGAGTTAGCTATACTAAATATATACGCACCCAATACAGGAGCACCCAGATACATAAAGCAAGTTCTTAATGACCTACAAAGGGATAAGAGTCCCACAAAAGAATAGTTGGAGACTTTAACACTCCACTGTCAATATTAGACAGATCAATGAGACAGAAAATCAACAAGGATATGCAGGACTTGAATGCAGAACTGGAACAAGTGAACCTAATAGACATCTACATAACTCTCCACCCCAGAGCCACAGAATATACATTCTTCTCAGCACACATTGCACTTACTCTAAAATTGACTACGTACTTGGAAGTAAATCACTCCTGAGCAAATACAAAAGAATGGAAATAATAACAAACAGTCTCTCAGACCACAGTGCAATCAAATTAGATTTCAGGAGTAAGAAACTAAATCAAAACCACACAACTTCATGGAAACTGAACAATTTGCTCCTGAATGTCAACTGGATAAACAATGAAATGAAGGTAAATATAAAGATGTTCTTCAAAACCAATGAGAACAAGGACACAATGTACCAGAATCTCTGGTACATACAAAGCAGTGCCTACAGGGAAATTTATAGCAATAAATGCCCACATGAAAAATGAGGAAAGATCTAAAATCGACACTCTTTCATCAAAATTCCAAGAGCCAGAAGAGCAAGATCAAAAAAAAAAACTCAAAAGCTAGAAGAAAACAAGAAATAAGAGATCGGAGCAGAAACGAAGGAGATAGAAACACACACACACACACCCAAAAAAAAAAAAAAAAAAAAAAAAAAAAAAAAAA